GGTTAGATTAAGTTAAGTCAGGTTAAATTAAAGTACATTAAACCTGAACTAAATCACCTTATAAAGACAACAACTATTAAGACAAGGAAGAAACACCTCTATTGTTCTATTGTCCCAAGTTAAAGAAAATAAATAAAATACCAATGTTTCCCCTTAACAATTTAGTTCATTTTCTTCAAGGGTAACTAAAAAAAACCCAGATTTATTAACTAAAAATAGTTCTTAATTTATACAGAAAAAACTAATTAAAGAATATTAATTAAAACGATTAAATTGGACACAAAATCATGTTAGCATATAATTAAGAAAATATTAAACCCTAGGTATAAAGGGCACTATATAATGGGACCCGGCTATAACGGACACTATATAATGGTACCCGGCTATAACGGACACTATATAATGGGACCCGGCTATAACGGACACTATACAATGGTACCCGGCTATAACGGACACTATATAATGGGACCCGGCTATAACGGACACTTTATATAATGGGACCCGTACATAACGGACACTATATAATGGTACCCGGCTATAACGGACACTATATAATGGTACCCGTATAACGGACTATATAGTAATTTTTCCGGCTATAACGGACACTATATAATGGGACCCGGCTATAACGGACACGCGCTATATAATGGGACGGCTATAACGGACACTTTATATAATAATTGCCGGCTTTAACAACGGACACTATATAATGGTACCCGGCTATAACGGACACTATATAATGGTACCCGGCTATAACGGACACTATATAATGGTACCCGGCTATAACGGACACTATATAATGGGACCCGGTTATAATGAAACCTGATTATAATAGACAATATATAACAGAACCCGGTTATAACACACTTTATATAACAGAACCCGGTTATAACGGACAAAACCTTCGATATAACTGACACTATCACCAAAATACATAATATTCCAAGATCTTTTTCACCAAATTCATACATGTTAATACTTCCCCCAGATTATGTATAGTATTCATGCAGAGTAGATGAGGAGCACTTAGACCAGCAACTCACTTACATATGCATAAAAACTTTAGACTTACAAATAAATATACAGCTTAATATACAGCTTAATATACAGCTTAGGATTAGGTCTCTCTCTCTCTCTCTCTCTCTCTCTCTCTAAATGGGATGGTCTATGTAGTATTGTTATTATTGTTTTTATTTTTAGTCAAATTATTTTTGTTATTCTTGTTATGATTCTTGTTATTATTGTTATTGTTGTTATGATTCTTGTTATTATTGTTGTTGTTGTTATTCTTAGTCTTATTATTATTGTTGTTGTTATTCTTATTATTGTTATTATCATTATCATTACAAACAAAATCGTAAACTATCTGTCATTATTATATACTATTATCATCATTATCAGCTAAGACATCAAAATAATCATCCTAATTACAAACATCATTACTACATTATCAAAAGTTAAAACAAGTTAAAATTACATTAACATTAAAACAACTCACAGATTAGCTTGCCTACCCCCTACCTACCCCTAAAGACTAACCACCACCCCCAGATTAACCCCTTAACCCCCCCACCAGGTTACCCCAACAGCCCCCAGAGAGTCGTGTGAACTATCAAGCAAGAATTGACTTTCGTTCTTCATGATAACCGAACTAGTTGGTTATCATCAGTAACTCTTAAGAGCGTTTATCTGGGGGTCTTACTGTGTTTTATCTATGGGGGGGGGGGGTTATTTAAGTTTTCAGGGGTTTATTTTAAGTTATCTGGGGTGGGTTTGAGTTTTTAAGGGTTTTTAAGCTTATTTTACATGAAGATTAACCACCCCAGCTTATTTTACATGAAGATTAACCACCCCAGCTTATTTCACCACAAGATTAACCACCCCAGCTTATTTCACCACAAGATTAACCACCCCAGCTTATTTCACCACAAGATTAACCATCCCAGCTTATTTCACCTCAAAATTAACCATCCCAGCTTATTTCACCTCAAAATTAACCACCCCAGCTTATTTCACCTCAAAATTAACCATCCCAACTTATTTCACCTCAAGATTAACCACCCCAGCTTATTTCACCCTAACCTAAGCTTATATGTTTACATGTATTTTCGGTGAGTTGTATCTAGATCCACACACATACGCTAAGTAGGTTGGGTAGAGAGGCGGGTCGGCGTAGGTGCGTAGGTAGGCGTAGGTGCGTAGGTTGATAAGGTGCGTAGGTAGGTCGGTTGGGTAGAGCGGCGGGTAGGCGTAGGTGCGTAGGTAGGCGTAGGTTGGTAAAGTGCGTAGGTAGGTCAGTTGGACAGAGAGGCGGGTAGGCATAGGTGCGTAGGTAGGCGTAGGTGCGTAGGTTGGTAAGGTGCGTAGGTACAGTAGGTCAGTTGGGTAGAGAGGCGTAGGTGCGTAGGTAGGCGTAGGAAGGTAAGGTAGGAGTGTCAGGTGTTTTGGCACTATTATGGTCTCAAGACGTTCATCTAAAGTGACGTAGAGATGTAGTCAAAGCTACCTGAGTGACGTCATCCACCTGAGTGACGTCATCTAAGTGATATTGTTGTTGCTGTTTTGGTGCTTCAGAAGGTTCAGTGAGTGCTTCAGAGAGTTCAGTGAGTGCTTCAGAAGGTTCAGTGAGTGCTTCAGAGGGTTCAGCGAGTGCTTCAGAAGGTTCAGCGAGTGCTTCAGAGGGTTCATCGAGTGCTTCAGAAGGTTCAGCGAGTGCTTCAGAGGGTTCAGTGAGTGCTTCAGAGGGTTCAGTGAGTGCTTCAGAGGGTTCAGCGAGTGCTTCAGAGGGTTCAGCGAGTGCTTCAGAGGGTTCAGCGAGTGCTTCAGAAGGTTCAGTAGAGTGCTTCAGAAGGTTCAGCGGGGTGCTTCAGAAAGGTTCACCGAAATTACTTCAGAAGGGGTTCGTGAGTGCTTCAGAGGGTTCAGCGAGTGCTTCCAGAGGTTTAGTGGAAAGAATTAGCTTCAGAGGGTTCAGTAGGCAGGTGCTTCCAGAGGTTCAGTGAGTTCAGAAGGTTCAGCGGGGTGCTTCAGAAGGGTTTCACCGAGTGCTTCAGAGGGTTCAGTGAGAGTGCTTCAGGGTTCAGTGAGTGCTTCAGAGGGTTCCTTGAGTGCTTCAGAGGGTTCAGTAGGTGCTTCAGGTTCAGCGAAGGGGTGCTTCAGAGGGTTCAGCGAGTGCTTCAGAAGGTTCAGCGAGTGCTTCAGAAGGTTCAGCGAGTGCTTCAGAGGGTTCAGTGAGTGCTTCAGAAGGTTCAGCAAGTGCTTCAGAGGGTTCAGCGAGTGCTTCAGAGGGTTCACTGGATCTAGTTTTAAAGTGTTCCAATAGCCATATACTGGATGTCTTCATCACCGTTCATCATGTCTTAACGCCTACAACTATGTCTGACTAACTAAACTGGACGACATAATAATAATAATAATAATAATAATAATAATAATAATAATAATAATAACAATAATAATAATAATAATAACAATAATAATAATAATAATAATAATAATAATAACAATAATAATAATAACAATAATAATAATAATAATAATAATAATAACAATAATAATAATAATAATAATAATAATAATAACAATAATAATAATAATAATAATAATAATAATAAAAATAATAACTAATAATAATAATAATAATAATAATAACAATAATAATAAAAATAATAACTAATAATAATAATAATAATAATAATAATAATAATAACAACAATAATAATAATAACAATAATAATAATAATAATAATAATAATAATAATAATAAAAATAATAATAACAATAACAATAATAATGATAATAATAATAATAATAATAATAACAATAATAATAATAACAATAATAATAATAACAATAATAATAATAATAATAACAATAATAATAATAACAATAATAATAATAATAATAATAATAATAACAATAATAATAACAACAATAATAATAACAATAATAATAACAAATAACAATAACAACAATACATTATTTCTTATAGTAAAAGACTTGACCCAATTGGTCCATGTCACGACTAACGAATGACGTCATACCTTAAAGGAAGAAGATATTACTAACCACGTTATTCTATTCGTTACTAACCACGGCATTCTATCTATTGCTAACCACGGCATTCCATTCATTACCAACCACGGCATTCTGATCATTACCAACCACGGCATTCCATTCATTACTAACCACGGCATTCCATTCATTACTAACCACGGCATTCTGATCATTACCAACACGGCATTCCATTTATTACCAACCAAGGCATTCCATTCATTAATAACCACGGCATTCATTCATTACCAACCACGGCATTCCATTCATTACCAACCACGGCATTCCATTCATTACGAACCGCGGCATTCCATTCATTACCAACCACGGCATTCTATTCATTACCAACCACGGCATTCTGATCATTACCAACCACGGCATATTCATTACAAACCACGCCATTCTATTAATTTCGACACAAAACATTGATAGCAGTAATACATTCCAAACTACGGCACGGAAGTATGCATTACACGGTCCAGAAGAATGCATAACACGGCACAGAATGCATTACAAATTACGACACGGAAGAGTGCAGTACACGGCCCAGAATACATTTAAAAAAAAAAAACACGGCATTTCATTCATTTTGTAAATTCATTCGACGAAAGTTGGGCCAGAACCTCCGAGTTCCCTCACCTAACCAACTTACATCTATCCCCCGAAGGTGAAACATGACAGGTGAGGTAGAATATGACAGGTGAGGTAGAATATGACAGGTGAGGTAGAATATGACAGGTAAGGTATAGTTAGGTAAAATATTCTAAAACCCCTAGATACACACACCACATGGTTCCACCTACACTTCTATCTGGGCTCCCCGACTCCAACCGGGCTAGTTGTCTAACCATGCTATTTTATTTTCTTCTCTAGGTGTTTTAAATAGCGATATGGTGATGGTATATTTCCTCTACTAGCAACACAACACTAGTATAGTCTTCTCTCACCACTAGCAGTAGTTGTTATGGGTGTAAATCACGGAGGTAAGGTAGCAGGCTCCTCCTCCTAGCACATCAGAGGGTAAACTGAGTGAGACTGAATGCGCAGATACACACACACACACACACACATACACATACACACACTCTCACACGCACATACACACGAACATATTACACTCCCTCACCCCGAGCTTTCCACACACACACATACACGTACACACACTTAACAAACACGATGCTTAATGGGGATTTTTTTATTTATTTTTAAACAAACGTTGATTAATCTTGAAACGTTTGTGATCAGCTGTTGAGTTAAAAGACGAAAACAAATGTGTATAGTTTGAAGATATCTGGTGGTGGTTGGTGAAACTGGGCGACGATTGGACAAAGTGGCGCTATGTGGCATCTAGCCAAGTTCCTCCCTTCCCCCCACCCCTTCCTTCCCCCACTCACCTCACCACCCAGATCCTCTCTAACACCCCCCACTCCACCACTCTAATCGGTTGGATGGGAGGGAAGAACTTCTACTACACGACGCCGCCTCTGAGTAACTTATTTCCATCTTGTTCTGACGTATAACAAGACTGCCACACACACACTCGTATCTACAGTAGAAGGGAACAAGTGACATTTTACGAGAGAAACTCCTCTTGTGACCTCTTCAGTATAATTCTTCAGGGGGGTTGAACATTCCTCTTGTTCCAGGGGTGTACAGGGGGACAGGGGGAATGAACAGGGGGGGGGGGAGGAACAAGGGGAGGGTGTGTGTTTCCCAGTCAAGTTGCTTTTAAAGTAGAGTAAATCCTCTTGACATCAGTAGTGGTAGAAGCATGATGCAATATTTCGCTATATTGGCCGTCGGTGTTGTTATAAATGGCATCTGGTGGCACTGTTGGCTCTAGTGTGGTGGATCAACAGTGCCACAACACCCTCATGACAACATAGGAGTCCACCTGGCACTATATCTCACAACAGTGCCTGATTCAGTGCCAGGAAGCCTCTCAAATAGCGACACCTGGAATTCTACCCCTCTCCCCCCTTCAGTTCAACCCCCCCTTTGGAGCCCCCTCGCCCCCCCCCTCACTGCCCCCTCGTCTCGACCTTGGCGCGGGTGAACCAGTACAACCCCGATATGATGATTCAGCCGGTCCTAAACCCCGATATAGTACTCATCAGTGGCTTCTCTTCGTCTCGGATAAAAACATTGGGATGATAAAACCCGCGTTGGTGTTACACTGTTGGAGGAGGGAGGGGGGGGTGTTGGAGGAGGAGGGTGTTGGAGGAGGGTGTGTTGGAGGGGGGGAGGAGGGGGCGGTCTATGTCCTTCTACTTTTAAAGGTCAGCCCACGCCCATACACTTCCCTACACCCCCACAAGACTCTTCCTATCTCCTCTCGCACGTCCATGGCAACTTTCAACACCTACTGTACATGGCACTTCAGTCTCCCTCCCATGGCAACTTTCAACACCACACACCTACAGAACATAAGACAATAAGGAGTCTGCAATAGGCCGGTTGGTCTGTGCATGGCAGCTCCTGTCGAGAGTTACTACCACTCTCTATCATCCATGAATCTATCTAGCCTCCTTTTAAAACTTTCCAGCACTAAATACAAAGTTGGTAAGCTTGTTCCACTCGTCCACCACCCTATTTGTGAACCAGTTCCTTCCTATCTCCCTCCTAAACCTAAACTTATCCAACTTAAATCCGTTGCTACGAGTCCTATCCTGCTCGGATATTATAAGAACTTTATCTATATCTCCTTTATTTTTTTTTTCAATTTCAATTGTTTATTCCTTGATAGAGGAAGCGGGATCCTAGAGCTGTCACTGGGTACAATAACACCAGAAGCATCTGGCAAGTGTCACAAGTATATACAGTATAAATATTATAAAGGGGCTTACTAAAGCCTAAGGAAGGAAGGATATTCCTTTAACACATCATCAATGTTATTTATATAGTATCTGGCCAGTATGGGGAGGATCATCGTCTGGGGGTCGTGGTCCAGCAGGCGTCACGGAAGCGTCGTGTGTGGGGACATCTTAGGAGGTAGTGGATAAGGGTGCTGCTGTCGGGTCTTCTACATAATGCACAAGAGCGTTGCTAAGGGGATGCGAGGATACCAATCTCCCAAGCAAAGTCATACCCAATGATGATACGGGCAGCAATCACGTCCCTTTTCAGCGACCCTTTCCCATAGACAAACGAGAGGTCAGGAAGTTTACGGAGAATGATCGCCTTTATTGATTCCTTTCACCCACTTAAATACTTCTATCATATCTCCCCGCACTCTTCGTCTTTCTAGGGAATGCAAGTTTAGTTTCTTTAACCTATCTTGATATGGAAGGTTTCTAAGTCCCGGAATCATTTTCGTCATTCTTCGCTGCACCGACTCCAGTGAATTAATATCCATTCTATAATAGGGACACCAGAACTGAACCGCATAATAGAGGTGCAACTCCCTCCCTCAACCACACACCCCCCCCTCCCAACCACACACCCCTCTCCTCTCCCCACGGTAACTCCCCAACCACACCCCCCACTCCCCACGGCAACTCCCCAACCACACCCTCTCCTCCCCACGGCAACTCCCCAACCACACTCCTCTCCTCCCCACGGTAACTCCCCAACCACACCCCCTCTCTCACGGCAACTCCCCAACCACCCCCTCTCCTCCCCACGGCAACTCCCCCAACCACACCCCCTCTCTCCCCACGGTACCTCCCCAACCACACCCCTCTCCTCCCCACGGTAACTCCCCAACCACCCTCTCCTCCCCACGGCAACAACCACAACTACGATGCACGATAGGTTGCTCCGCCTCAGCTTGTAACAGATTCCTAACCGCGTAAAAAGTTGCATCAGAGAGGGACAAGAAGAGGTGCCACACATCGCCATACTGTTGCCATATATAAGAGAAGACGCCTTACACTACCCTCATGCTATATATTCCATCCTGTTGCCATATATTCCATCCTGTTGCAGTATATACCATCCCGTTGCCATACACTATCCTGTTGCCATAAGAGATCAGCCGCCATACATAACTTAGCAGCCCAATGGCAACCAGTTTTAAAATAAGACCCACCACCACCACCACCACCACCACCACCACCAATCATACACTGACGTGGTTAGTGATAGCATTAACCACCAACATTGACGTAGTTAGCAATGGCACCCAAAAGGATTTAGAGATCCTTGCCATACACCTGGACAAAATTCTTTCAGTTAAAGTGAAAAATTGGACAAAATCCCTCCATTTTCTATACTAACCTAACCTAACCTTACCAACCCAAATTAACCTAACCTAACCTAACCCCCCCAGGTAGCGTTGGGGTGTTTAATTATCAGGTGAAAAAACTTAGGGGCTAATCTTCAGGTTAGGTTAGGTTATGTTAGGGTAGGTTAGGTTTAGGTTAGGTTAGGTTAGGTTAGGTTTAGTTAGGTTTAGGTTAAGTTAGGTTTCAGGTGATCAAAATATCACCCAAAAATTAATTAACCTTGTTTATACACCTGTAACTGTAATATTAACTGTACCCGCCCGATACAGACACAAACACAGTACCTAGGATAAGATTACATACTGTACCCGCCCGATACAGACACAAATGCAGTACCTAGGATAAGATTACATACTGTACCCGCCCGATACAGACACAAATGCAGTACCTAGGATAAGATTACATACTGTACCCGCTCGATACAGACACAAATGCAGTACCTAGGATAAGATTACATACTGTACCCGCCCGATACAGACACAAATGCAGTACCTAGGGTAGATTACATACTGTACCTGCCTGATAAGGAGACACAAATGCAGTAACGAGATAAGATTACATACTGTACCCGCCCGACACAGACACAAACACAGTACCTAGGATAATATTACATACTGTACCTGCCCGATACATACAAATGCAGTACCTAGGGTAAGATTACATACTGTACCCGCCTGATACAGACACAAATGCAGTACCTAGGATAAGATTACATACTGTACCCGCCTGATACAGACACAAAATGCAGTACCTAGATAAGATTACATACTGTACCCGCCCGACAGACACAAACACAGTACCTAGGATAAGATTACATACTGTACCCGCCCGATACAGACACAAATGCAGTACCTAGGGTAAGATTACATACTGTACCTGCCTGATACAGACATTGAACACAGTACCTAGGATAAGATTACATACTGTACCTGCCTGATACAGACACAAATGTGGTACCTAGGGTAAGATTACATACTGTACCCGCCCGACACAGACACAAATGCAGTACCTAGGATAAGATTACATACTGTACCAGCCTGATACAGACACAAACACAGCACTAGATAAGATTACATACTGTACCCGCCTGATACAGACACAAATGCAGTACCTAGGTAAGATTACATACTGTACCTGCCTGATACAGACACAAATGCAGTACCTAGGATAAGATTACATACTGTACCCGCCTGATACAGACACAATGCAGTACCTAGGATAAGATTACATACTGTACCCGCCTGGATACAGACACAAATGCAGTACCTAGGATAAGATTACATACTGTACCACTGATATAGACAAATGGTACCTAGGATAAGATTACATACTGTACCCGCCTGATACAGACACAAAACACAGCAATCCAGGATAAGATTACATACTGTACCTGCCCGATACACACAAATGCAGTACCTAGGATAAGATTACATACTGTACCCGCCCGATACAGACACAAATGCAGTACCTAGGATAAGATTACATACTGTACCCGCCCGATACAGACACAAATGCAGTACCTAGGATAAGATTACATACTGTACCCGCCCGATACAGACACAAACACAGTACCTAGGATAAGATTACATACTCATGATGCTGTAATCGCCTTTGATACAGCACACCAATGTACCCAATCTTGTGGTGTAACTTCAAAATACAGGTAGATCTTACTGTACCTAGTTTTGTACCTGTAATTAAGACTGTACCTGTAATCGTTGTTATGGTGCGTCTGGAGAAAAGTGTGTGTATAGTTGGATTTCTTTTATAATCGGTTTATGTTGATGATGTGAA